TAAATATTCTAATCCCTGGATTTGACTTGTATCTGTGTTTTGTTTCTTTGAATTATTCTCCAAGTGCTGTTGCTGTAGCAATAGCCAGTTCTGTGTCGAAATGAAGCACATTCCAGATTCAGCTGTTAAGGCCTATATGGAGGTCCGTTGGCAGGATCAGGCAGGGTGCTTATTAAAAAACACCTGATCCTTTCTGTTTAATATTCAACACCATATTTTCTTTCTCCACAAACTCACTGGTCATCACAGGGCATGTCTCTGGGCACTCCACTAGGTGCTGTGAATTATTCACTGCCTCTCTTCTCACCCCAGATCAGAGAAAGTGCGCTTTGTGCATCATCCTGGCCCAGCAATCCCCTAAATCCACATCTTCGGAGGTGGAAGGGAAGATGCAAGCCATCTCCTTAATTCCATTGACAGTGAACTAGTTAAATACATCCATTCACTTAAGCTCATAGGTTCTGATCCAGATCCAGAATTTCATCTGCAGCGTGGGTGCCCCTGAAAATTGGAGTGTGAAATACGGGAAGAGATAGACAAATTATTAAACAGCAGTACCTTGAATATACATAATAAAAACTGACTACGATCAGAGTTCAGCTGGGGGCCAACTTTTTATGCATGGTGTAGTTCTGTTTCATTTGCTATAAGCACAGAAATTACACCTGGATGCCAGCATACATGCTATGCAAATTTGCCTTAATATTGTAAAGTCCTAAAGTATTAGGAGAGCAGGATCCTATAAAATCTGTGTCCAGAATGCCTAACTATGTGCAGTTAACACAGATATTAAATTGAATGCTCCTCTTGCTATTATAAATGACTGCTTTGCTGTCTTTGTCAGCAGAGTTGTGGCATTCATCCTGTCACTAAGAATAAGAATAAGATGACCATCTGCATTTCTGCAGAGTGATGGCTACCCAGAGTGAGTTCAATAAAAGAAAATTATGGCTTTGTGCTTTGCTACAGCCAATAAATCATGAGCAGGTCTTGCACTGAGGCAAAAAATGAAAAATAACATTTTGTGGAAAGACTCTTTATAGGGTACCAGCTGAACAGCCACTTGAATTGTAATACCCCCAAAATGAACATCATGCAAGGGTGATAAGTAATGACCTATTCATGAGGAATTGAGCACACTGGGTTGTTAGGGATGCTGGTGGATACCTGTCAGGGAAACACTAAAGGTATGCCGGTGGTCTTTGTGTGAAACTGTGACAGCACATGAACACAATCTATCAGGCCATTTTTTGATCAGCTTCCATTTTCTCCCTTCAAAATAAATTCCTTCAGTTCTAGTTCAGCATATCATTCCTTTCCCTTTCTCTGACCTGGGGTCTTCTACAACAGTCTGTTCCTTTAGCCTGGAAGACTATCTCCTGGAGATCAAAGCAGGTTAAAAGATGGCCTCAGGGACCCCTTGGAGGTGGTGTAGGCCACCTTTTTAGGGTTTGAATATGCCATATTGGAGACTGGTGTTCTCTGACCAGACACATCACTGTCAAGCCTCCAGTTATCTTATTTGTCAAGTAATAAAAGCCTTTCTCAGTGGTGAAGACTCTAAAATCAACTGAAAACTAAGCAGGAGGAGTTTTTGGTTTCCTGAATCAGTTCTTCCTAAAGGCAGTTGATTTTCTGGTTTTATTTCCTCTTTTAGTCTACTTTGAGTCAGTGACTAAAGCCCAAAGGCTTTCTTCCCAGTTTCATTACCCTGAGTAGGGGGTGCATTACATGCACAGCTTTGCAAATGAACAGAAATATGTGCTAAATGAAGATGGAGTAAATGCTGTGGGAAGTGGGTTTTTAAGTAGAGTTTTGACTGTCATCTCATAACTATTCATTGGGTCTATAATACAGTCAGATATTTTCAATATAGTAGTAAACTAAATTATAATTTAAAGTCTATTTGTAGCCATTTTCTTATATTAATAGGTAAAAAACAGTTTAAGGCCAAATTTTGATCTGAATTTGATACAAATAGCTTAAGGGGTCTCTGATGAAATCAGGTGTAATACAGATCATACTATGGCTCCAGACATTCAGAACTGGACTCCTATCTCTTTCTTTTCCAATTTTATAGTCTCTGCTTAAATACCGTGCTGATTGTCTGTGGGAGAATGCCTCCAAGTGGATTTTCCCAAAGGACTCAGCATGATGCTGATGGGAACAGTGCTTTAGGAAACCTCAGCTCAAACAAATGTCAAAAAGAACAATAATCACCAGAATTCACTTACCTATAGATGCTGTTAAGTGCACTGTGGGGAAAAAGGGAGAGAAAGGGGAAAATACTTTTTCTGAATCAGTGTTTATTACTTTTTATTGCTAATTAATGAACATTTAGACCGTATTTATTCTCTGACGACCACTAGATGTCAGCACATATCTGGGCTAGTGTAACTGGAGCAACAACCATCTGGTAGTAAAAAAACCTCTCTACCCTGTAATAATGTAGTTTAGATAGCATACAGTCGCTGTCTAAACCGGTTTCGTTTGACTTTATAAAAATTTCAGGTACCCAAACAGTAACAGTGACTGTTTCAGCCATCAAAACAGGGGGACTTCTATGTATGTTATTTCTTGCCCTTGTTCTTGTTTTGCAGACTACATTTATTGTCAAGTGTATTCTGTCCATTGTCTTTCAGGAAGCACTTCTCATGTGAAAGTCTACCAGGTGCAGCTTTATAGTGAGGATGGCTATTGTTTTTTTATCTAAAGGTTTCATGGCCAAACTTATTTTAAACATGAATACGACAGCTAATTCTGTTGAAAGTGGGCAAGCCCAGAAATCTGAATAAAACTTCAAACATAATATTCATAGCATAATATGATGTGCAACTGTTCCGTGAGATTGGGCAAAAAGCCCTAGTGTATTCTGAATGTGTGCAACTCACCTGTATTGCATATAAGATATAATGAAAAAAAATTATGTTATTATGAATTCAGCCTATTTAAAATGCATAGACACACTTCACAGCTTGCATTATTTTTAAGTTAGATCAAAAGCCTTTTTGAATAATTTTGCCACACAGTAGTAAGGATTAGTATTTGGCCATATATATGTTCATATGCTGTGTATTCATTGTTTAATATATATCTAGATCCAGCATCGAAACAAGAAAGAGTTTTGGCAGGTAATCCATTCTTCCTAACCATCCATATCTTCAGGTCAACTGGGTTTTGGAAAATTAGACGTATAAACTGGAAACTGTTATTTAAACAGTTTTTTTTTTTTTTTCTACTGGAGCAGAATGCAGGGTCCTTAGTTGCTGTAGCAATTAAAACAGACACTGCTAACACTGGTGCTAGCAGGAGTTAGGGGACATTGTGTCACTGCTGAATCAGGTTGTAATGAGCTATAGTGCAACCCCTGCGGTGCTATCAGTTGATTAGTTACCAAGAGAGGGCTCCGTGCTCCATATTCACCCCACTGCATCAGAGAGGCTCCGCTGAAGCGTGTGGGCTGGCAGCAGAACAGCTTATTACCCTCCAGGGACAACCTGAACTGCGTGCTGAAGGGCAGCTACAGAGAGAGCCCAGGGATCAGCTGCCTCGGCGGAGGACCTGAAGTTAGCTGGGGTGAACCTAGACCCATAACATGAAGTTACTGTGAAATGCCTTGGCCCCTGAGTCACTGACTAGCAGCAAAGCCCCAGTTTCTCTGCTTCCACCATGCCTCTGCTGTGGCAGTGGCGCTGCGTGTATTCCTTGCGCTGAGTTACAAATTCCTACCGTCCCTGTGGTCCCGTGCACCAGACACAAGGAGCTGGAGAAAAAGCAGAGAGGCTTTTCAGTGGCCCTGGGTGGCTTCCTCCAGCCTGCCCTCGGATGTGACCTGGTGTGAGGGGGGTAATCTCACAGCAGTCACATCTATCCTGTTTGCACTTAGCATATTTTGATTGCCCTGTCCCAGCACCTGCCAAGAGCCCTTGCGCTGTGTATTTTCAGTACGGCAGAACGTTCATCGGGTTGCCAGGCTTAAGTGCACTGCAATAATCAGCCTCTCCTATGATGGCTGCGTTGATCAGAGCATCAGCCTTCGTAAGGAGGTGCTTCATCCTTGCAGTATTTCAAAGCTGATAAACAGCTGACCAAGTACAGAGAGGGAGACAGGCAGAGTAAGGGGAAACTTGGAGCCAAGAGTGAGATCTTGCTACCAAATTTTCCTCACAGAAAATATATCCCATTGAACTGCAGGCTTGACTAACCTTATTCACACTGTGCTTGAGGCAGGTTGCCTAGCAGCAGAGATCTTAGCGGGGTTTAGCCACAAACAATGTCTTGCTGTCCATGTCTCATCTGTTAGTAAAATTTAGGATGCACAGGAATATCCATGCCAAAGGTGGAAGAAAGCAAGGTATAGCCCCCCCTGGACCTTATACAAGCAAAGCAATGCAAACCTAGGTAGACTGGCTTTATTGTATCTGGAAAAGGAAGACTATTTGGGCTGCACACACCACCTTACCTTTTTCTAATGTGAAATAAAGAGATTTACCAATTTTTTTAAAAAACAGATTGCTGTAAATTCTGCATATTTGAGCAGGGTAAATAATGGTGAAAAGTAGGGAGGAGCTGAAGGGGACTAACACTTGGTTGAGAAGTAAATTTCATTGTGACTACTTGCTGTCTTCCTATCATGTGAATACTTGAGAAATCTGTGGCTGAATGAATGTGAATGTCTGCTGGAAATACTTTGGCTGCCTGAGATAAAATCAATGATTTGTATAATTATTCTGACTTGGCACTCTGATCCAAATGGCTCTTGTTCCTTAACACAACCTTGTACAACTCTGTCCCCTGGTGCAAAGCGGAGGCTGACTGTCAGCAGTGCTAATGAAGAAATGACAGTATCCCATTAGCTGCTCATTGAGTAAGAAGAGGTTCAACAAAGGGGAAGTGAGCTTTGCAATTTTCCAATACATTCAATATTCCCTGTCACTACACCACCAGCTGAGGATGAACTGACAAGTTTTTGGCTCACCATTGATCATTCTCTTTCTCAGACTTGATCTTTCTCCACGGATGTCTTTTACTTCCAGCGAAAGTCTTTGGCTTCTCAGAGTTTAAATCCAGACAGAAGAATAATGCTCAAGAATTTTAAGACTAGTAAAAGGTAGGATGATCATTTTCAGTGTCAATGAAATGGGCTGATATCTGCTGGTGGAAGTTTACATATCTTTACTGCAGACTGTGTTGTGAATTAAAATAGGCAGATAATTTGGCTGAATAGCTCTGTAAACTATTGCAGTGTGATGCAAAATACATATGTACATTATTTCTTAGTGTTGTGCTTTTGCTCATAAGACAGTAGCAACCTCAAAATCCATTCAGATATACCCCTACTGCTGAATCAGCCATTTTCCTTGTTGAAGACCTGTGAATTTTTACTTGGTAGCACTTCCTTGGTACTCGAGTGCTGTGTTCAGCTTTGTCCCATTTTAGCGAATAATTGTTGGTTAAAAATAAAAACCAAAACTGATATTTTTCAGTCATTCTGTTTTGCTGCTTAGGGCAGAAGAGTATCTTCCTTCCTGAATGAATGAAAAAGATTATAGCAACTGATTTCGCATTCACATCTCTAATGAGATGGAAACCTTTAGTCTCTAGTTTAGCCATTGGGTATAAATGAAAGGTATAAGCTGTGTGGGGATATGTTTTGTCCAGTTCCTGACATCAGTTGCTTTTCCTGCTAGTTCTGTGTTTACACCTGGAAGGATGCAAAAGAGATAATTTTGTATCAGTTATCCTTCATGGTGAACACTGTGATTCAGAGAAATAATGTACACCTTTCTAAGAAAGAAGATAAGTAATCATTGGAAACCATTTATGTAGAATAGTGGTGGATCCTTGACAATTGCTAGTTTTTAAAATCAAGATTCAATGTTTACTTCTGAAATATTTGTTCTAGTTCAATTGCACACGATCATTGGACTTGATGCAGGAATTAATAAAGGGAAATCTTATGGCTTTTTAATATTTTGAAGTTCATTAACTGCTAGTCCAAAATCATCAGTTCACTGCTATAAAGAAACAGTCTAATAACAGTGTCAGTGTACAGTCCTTGCTTCTCCATGCCAAAACCTTACCAACAGGGAATTATAGGATCAGAGATCTATTGCTTAATTATATATTATTTTTCTGAAATAAGAACATTTCTCCATGTAGATCATATTCTCTTTCTATTTATGGCATTTCATTGTTGTATGCATCTTGCAAAGAAGCTTATTTGCTCCAAGTGAGGCTGGTTTCCTCAAATGACCATCACAGCCACATCTTTTTGGACAGGTCTGTTTGGGGATGCAGCGTGCTGCCCCATGTATCTATAAACCCATAATCTTTGTGTGTCATGATAGTCGTGGGCTTAGAGTGCTTTCATGTCCTAAAGCAGCACAGGAACTCTGCAAGTTGAATGACTGCACTAGCAAATCCCTAGTTATTAATTCTGGAGTAGTACATGTAGCTTTAAATGATGAATCTGGCAGGGTGAAGCTGGCATTAGAGTGCACTTGATGTTAACTGAAGCCATGACTCATTCATTTGCATTTTTCTTTCCCACAAAGAATGTTTAAGTAAGACCTTTTGCTCCTTTTAAGATCTTGAAATCTGTGCCTACCTATATATCAGAGAAGCTACTGATCACAATGGTTGATCAGAAGGTGCTTTAATCTGGTTTCATGAGTGTGTATTGCGGTTTGAACACTTTAAACTTAAAAACTGACCAGAATTTTTGGGCAGCCTGCTTTGCTGTGCCATAGTTATGGGATGCTGTGGCCAAGGGTGGGATACTGAGATTGTTCTAGGTCACTTGTTACACTGCATGAGACCAGTGTCTCCTTGCCCAAGGCCTACTCATCAGTCTAGTTACTCATCATGCACACACATTGCTGAAGTAAAAGGCAACCAAAGTCAATTTTCCAAATTTCTTCTGCTTTATTTTTCCTGCTGAAGACCCAAGTGAAGATCAAGTAAGTTCAAGTCGCAGTGAGCACACCAGTAGATTGGTTACTGTAAATACATACAATAAGTGACAGTCCTGGGCAGAGGAAGATTTCAATTTAAATTGATTAGGTGTCTGAAGAATAGGAAGCAAAAACATTTCAGAACAGTGACAGAATTAATTGTAGATTACCCAGCAGTCCAGGGCCAAATAGAGATCCTGTCTCTACCAGGAAGGAATGGACTGTCTGGAATATCCTAAATATTAAGGCCTTGCAACAACAGAATGTCTTTATAAAATATATAATTTTATATTCCCTAGGAAAAAAAAGAAATCCCGTAGTAGTGTGTAGTAAAGATATAATTTTCAACCAAGTTCTGCAGCTTGCTCGAATGGTCTTCACAAGAATTTTTTTCACTTTTCTATTAGATTCTAACAGACTACATAAATTACGGATTAATTTGGCCCATTAAATATTAAAAGATTAACACTTTTCTCATTTTTTCCTCACAATTTAGAAGTGAATTACATAGTTGCATTACAATCATTCCACTTAATTTTACTTTTCATGTCATTTTTCTCCCAGCATTAATTTTGCCCATGTTGCAGCATTCAGCTCAGGACATATCTCACTGCAGTCCATTATCTGACCAGTCGAGCCTGCAGCAACAGGGAATCTTACTTAATTGGAAAGATGCACTGATGCAGAAAAGGTACATGTAACTTGCTGCACTAGCCATACCTTTTAAAACTATATCATTACAAAGATGACAAACTGTCATCTATTCTTTGATCTGAAAGATTTTCCGAAGCTGCCAGAGTCAGAAAGTAGTAGGGCTGAAGCCTAAAATTCCTTCCATGATGTGTTATGGAATAGATGTGTAAAGAAGGACTGTACGGGAAGCATCAGGTGAGAATTTTTAGAAGCTTTTTAAAGCAATCAGTGAAATCTGATTTAAGAATACCACTTCATTTTGCACTTAATAATGTTCTCTGGATAAACTGTATTCCAATATGCTTCACAAAGTTAAATAATACAGTTACTGAGATAAATAACAGCAGAAGGAGGCAGTCGCAGCAAGTTATAGGCTCACTGAGCTCAGGCAGTTCATTCCTGGAGTATGGTCCAAAATTTGACTGTCCCTGGCAGTTGGCAATTATGAGCTCTGCCTGGTCTTATTTTTCTTGATATTGATACCAGAGAAGGTTTCCAAATCATCAACTGCAAGAGCAGCATTCTTCTCGAGATGGAAAGCAAACCTCAGGGTTTTACAATAGAATTACCTCAATGTACAAACCTCAGGGTTAATACAATAGAATTATCTCAATTTACACCTACTGAGAAGTGTGCTAAAGCAGCTGCAGCTGATCAGTCTCTGTATTTTTAGCTTAGATTCAAGTCATAATCAGAGACAGTTTTAAAGTTTTGAACAGTATGGGAAGAAGAAGATGGAGATATATGCCATAATATTTCATCTGAAAAGGTCTTGTAGGTATAGTCATCAACTGTTTAAAGATTTCACCATTCATATATCTTTTCTAACAGTCTGTTTCTTTCAAATCCTATACACTTTAGATTTGACACACTTCGGGTAGAGAGGTGATAATTCTACAGGACCATATCCCAAGCCTGAAGAAACACAAATAATGTTATCAAAGTTGCACACTTTTTACCGCCGTCTCAATTCTTTACTGCAGAAATGTTGATTTAGTTAGATCCTTAACTGCTTTTTCCCTGTTGTACCCTCAGCATCCTAGTAACAAAGCCAGCTGCTGTTCCCAGCCTCCATTTAACACTCAAACAGGAAGATGTCATGCTGTGCCCAGCATTATCAGGGCTCACGAGGAAGAAATGGGAATATGTTCAGCCTACTTTTTAGGGTTTACCTAGCAGCTTTGGAAATCAGTGGCAAGATTCACTCTGTTGTTAGGAGCTTGTATGCGTAGCCATTGCTCTTCTAAAAGACTGTCATGGTTTGAGCTCAGAGGGCAACTGAGCACCACACAGCTGCTCGCTTCCCCCTTGCCCCACCCGGTGCTGTGAAGGAGAAAATAGGTAAAGGCTTGGGATTTGAGATAGGACACGGAGGGATGAATCACCCATTACAATCACAGGCAAAAGACAGGCTTGTTAGGGGAAGAAAAAAAAAAAATGTATATTTATTACAGACACTAACAAAATCAACATTTAACAGACAGAGTAGGACAGTGAGAAGCATTGCCACATCTTGAGAACACCTCGCCCTCATCCCTCCCTTCTTCCCGGGCTCAGCTCTGCTCCCCATATCTCTACCTCCTCCCCCCCAGCAGCGCAGGGGCAGGGAATGGGGGGTGCAGTCAGTGCTGCCGCTTCTTCCACCTTCGGGGGGTGATGGAACTTCTGGAACTTCCCTCCTGCTCCAGCGTGGTCCCCCTCTCACAGGAGACAGTCAAACTTTCTCCAACTGGAGTCCCTCCCACGGGCTGCAGCATTTCCCGAGCTGCTCCTCACAAGTCTGACTCCTCCTCCCCAGTTCCTTCTTAAATATGTTATCGCAGAGGTGCAGGTAATTGGCTCAGACTTGGTGCAGAAGTGGGGCTGCCTTAGAGCTGGGGCAGCTTCGAGAAGTTTTTCACAGGGGCCACTACTGTAGCCCCCTCCCCTGCTACCAAAAACCCCACCACTCACTCAACCCAAGACAAAGACAATTTTTAAGGTGTTCCTCATAGCTTTCTCCTTCTACTACACTAAAACCCACAAGAAGCACGCTACAGAAATTTGGGAGGGGGTGAGGGGAAGTCCACTCCAAGTATGATCTGTGCTCATTTTAGAGCCTGCTAAATGTTGAACAAGGCAAACTAATCTGCAGTTATTTTGTGAGACTAGGGTATTGTGTTAATACTAATGACTCTGATGGGTGAAGAATATAAACATTACATTTGATGAGGATCTGACAAGAACACCTATCTTTGTTAAACTAAGTGAGTTGGTGTTGTTAATGGCATTCTGGGGATCAGAATTTTGTGAAAAGGAAAATGATTCTCCATATCTGTTGATCTTTTGTAAATGTTCATTCCTAAGCAACACACTCAATATTTGAGATGCTCTGCTTTGTCATTCCTGCAGTAGAGCCTTACTTACTTAGGCCTAAATCATTTTTGGTTTCATCTCCCT